CCGGGTCGCCCGAACAGGCCAGCCCGTCGGCCGCCATACCCATCGGTCGAATCAAGGTAGCGCCGCGCAGTTCCCGCACGGATCCTGTCGAGCGCCGGCGCGTCGCGCACCGTGCAGCTCTATAGCTCCCGCATACTCTCGGCCGAACGCCCGCTCGTCGCTGAGGTCGTCGTCGCGGTCCTGATCCTGACCGAACTCTCCTCATCACCACCGCGCCCCGCCCGGCTGCGCCCCACCGCGAAAGCACCATGCCGCCCCCCACCCTGACCGCGCCCGGCGGCTGCCTCGGGCACGGCGTCGACCTCTGACCCCGACTCGCTCGAGCGGACTGTACTTGTACGTATACCCACTGGTCGCCTTTCACATCCGCGCCCTGCCTGGCTGCCTACCTCCACTCATTGGATTGGACCTTTTAGCCGCTGTCCACCTCCTGTCCGGCGGGCTCGTCCGTTAGGACAGCGGCAGCAGCAGCGGCAGCGGCAGTGGCAGCCTGTCCGACAGCCGCATGCCGTTTAGCGGCGGAACGGGGCAGGATAGCGGCAAAAGCCTAGCCGGTCCGTGGTGATTGCAGTGCATCATCTGCCCGCCGTGTGTGAGTGTGTGTCTGTGTGTGTGTCGCCTCTCGGTCGCTCGGACAGGACAGGCCGGCCGCCGTGGACTCCTGCCGAGGGCTCACCGCACAGCACAGCGGGCCGAGCAGGCGCGGGCACTGCATCGCGGAAGACACGGCCGCGCCCCCGGTCCAGCGCACGCGATCGCGCTCAGCCGCGTCCCGTGGTTGTTTTGGAAAAATATTGTGTACATCAGGCACATCTGTGAGCGGGGGTGAATGTGAGTGCGTGTGGCGAGTAGTGTTGTGAGCGCTTCGTGACAGATTTGTGCTGAGATTTGTGACTCTCGCCTGGAAAGCTTTTGAATGTGAACCCCCTCGCCCTTGAATGGTTCTCGCGTGGTTTCCATGAATGTGTTCGTGTCTTTCTCTATCTTGTCCCCTGCTGTCGCTGTACAGTGTGGTCTCCTCTGTGCCCCGCCGGAGCATATGCGCATACTATCCCGCATGCAGGCGTGCGGACGGGTTGCCTATTCGAACGGGGCCAGGAACGACAGGCAAACCCGTCCGCACCCGTGCATGCCCCGGCTAGCATGCGCATTTGCTCCTTCTAGGCACAGTGACCACCCTGCATTGCCCATGCCTTCATTCTTCCGAACAACTCCTCTGGCTCTGACGCCACCCTTCCATTCATTGCCTTCGTGCTGCCCTTGACCGCGGTGCGACGTGCCGCGCCGCCGCTGGACCGTCCCGCCCTGGCCGTGTCACAGTCACCGACAGTCACGCCCCGCGACCAGTTTCCTTTGGCGAGCAGGTCGGTGACGGCCGTGGGACCGCCGCGGTGGCTGCGGCTCCGGCTGCTGCTGCGGCCGCGCGGCGCGCTCAGGCCCCCCTACCGCCGATAGAGACGGGGCAGCGGGTCCCTCCAGCAGATGACCCAACGGGACAGACCGGCGCACGGGTCCGTCATTGGCACGGCGCCGCGCGGCCGGCCGCAGCCTCCAGCATCCCCGGACCATCTGGACGTGCTCCTCGCTCAACGAGTCTCTCCTCTAACCCATCACTTCTTGTCGTGTTGCAGGTTGTCCCCGCACTGCGCTCGGCCCCGGCGCCCGCTGCGGCTGTTCGCCTCGCCGCGGTCCTCGCTGCACCGCTCCCCGCGGCCGCGCTCCTCCTCGGCGCGCTCGCCGTCGCCGCGCTCCCCCAGCTGGGGGCGGCCGCCACCCCCGGGCCTCCCCTGCCGCCTGCCGCTCGGCTCCCCGGGCCGCACCCCGGGCCGCCCCGCCCGCGGCGCCCGCGCCAAGGCCTCGCTGCGAGTGCGCGTGCAGGCGCGCGCCAAGGCCGCCTTCATGAAGAAGTTCTCGAGCAGCGCGTCGGCCTGGGTGACCAGCCGGCCCAACAGCACCTCCACGCCCATCGTCCCGAACAACAATAACAACATCTACACCAAGGACGTGGAGGCGGCCGCCACCACGCCGACCTCCAGGGGGACGGCGCCGGCGGCGCAGCAGCAGTCGAGCCTGCCGCAGTCCTTCGCCGTCAAGGTCCTGGGCTGGCGCGAGTCGCGCGGGCTGTGGGGCGTCAAGCACACGCGCGCGCCCGTGGACGCCATGGTGGCCACGGCGCGCGCCCTGCCCGCGGGCCAGGGCCTGGAGCGCGCCACGCTCGAGGTGTCGGCCGAGGGCGTGAGCGTCGACGGCAAGCTGCTGCCCATCGACTGCATCTCGTACGGCGTGCAGGACCTGGTGTACACGCGCGTCTTCTGCTGCGTGCTCGTGTCCCGGCCGGACGCGCCCGGCCCGCCCTTCAAGTGCCACGCCTTCGTGTGCGAGTCCCGCGCCCAGGCGCGCGCCCTCACCTACGCGCTCGCCGCCGCCTTCCAGGAGTACAGCCGCTCCGTGAAGCAGCGGCAGGCCGCTCCCGCCGCGCCCGCCGCGCCGCGGGTCGTGGACCTGCGCACCCCGGAGGACATCGCGGCCGAGATGCTGTCCCACTGCCAAGACTCGGAGGCGTAGACGGGCTCGGGTGGGAGGCAACCTCAGTGAGCCTGTCATACACAATATCGTTTCAAAAATGTTTCGATATAGATTCTATATCGTTTCAGCTCTCATTCTGGCCGCTGCGACCTCGTTATGGTTCTGCCTCCCCTCGGTGCCAAGCCTCACCTCGCTAAGTTGTGTAAAATAACTTTCAATGGACTGTGATTTAATTTTTAAGTGACTCGTTTTAAGCCGATAGTGTGTGTAATACGTGTTTTTGAGCATGGATCAGGATAAAAAGCAACGTTCTTGTTCTGCTGTTGCATGTATTTGTTTTCGTAAGCGCGTTTGTCTGTGTGTGTGAGCGCGTCCGCGAGCTCCCGTGCGAACAAAATCAGCGAGAAAGAGAAAGGGAGAGAGGGAGCAATATTATACTAAGTTGTGTGAAGAGCTGATCCATGGCGGATTTGAATGGGGGTGATGCCATGCCTCATTGCCTACTCACAGGCAGAAAGTAGTGCGTTGGGGTTGGGGGCTACTAAAGTGTATGGAGCAGAAAACGCGTGTTTGTCCGCAACCCAGTACTAAGGTTGTTAATGTATATATTGAAAATTGAAGTGATTTAATAAAAACAACTGAATACAATTTTACTTATAATAAAGCTAAAATACTCAATTATCATCCCCTTCTGTCAGAAACGAGTTTAAAATGTTATATCCAGATTAAGCCCCCGTTTGCAGCTAAGTTACACAGCAGCCGTAGACGTTCCAATACGCCCACACACCAAGCAGCTTCAGGAGCCTAAACCCAAAGTCCCCGTCACGACAGTCGCCTTGCCTTCGAGAGAAGCCGTGACCTACCTCGCAGGCGTCCAAGCGACAACTCGTGTTGAAGCTACAGTCGACATGACCGCATGCAGCTTCATCCGTACCAACACTGTCGGCCCTAAGATCAACTCCTGGGCGGGGCAAATATTTTCTTTGTCGCTTCTTGCCTCCCGTTAGACAGGACCGAGCTCAGACATCAATGCTGGAGGGGCTAGCTAGCAGCCGAGCGTGTTGAATCGTGATCGTTGGCAGGACGTGGGGATGGTCGGCAGTTCGAATCCCGCCGAGGTGATATTTTTCGCGCTACGCTGGCCATGACTTTACTGCCGTGGGACACCTGATGTGATGGGCCGGTACGCAAACAGTCGCTGGTTCGAATCCAGTCGACGTAACCCTTTTGCCCCTCTCCCGACCATGTGTTTTGGGGTGTGAGCCAGATCGGAGATGAGCTTCATCTACGCAAAAGCCGCATTGGCTCTGTTGGTAGAGCGCGCGCCCGGCACGCGGCTGGTCGTGGGTTCGAATACTGACTACTGACCGAGGCTTATTTTTTCCTATTTAGTAGTTTGCGGCGCGGGGACAAAGGGTTAGGACAAAAGACCAGCCTACACGGAAGGTGGACTTGACCGCCTGCTCAGCAGCCCCCCCTCCCCCTCAAAAAAAATAAACTGTTCGCCCGGGCCAGGAGTCGACCCCAGGGCCGACGGTGTCTTGTGCACCACGCCCCAGCGCGCTCGCCACTCGGCTGTCGGCTCCACTTGACAGCGGAGAGGTCGGGATTCGGTCCTGTTTTACGAGTCTTGTTCTCCTGGATTGCACGCGTCCACGGCGGGTCAAGTCCACCTCCTCGACGCGCTGAAGCCCGGGTCGACTCCTGGCCAGAAACAAGGAAAATAGCCACTAAAAGAGCCCCATAATCGCGAGGAGGTTAGGTTAGGCTAGCAGAGAGTACATTTATT